ACAAAATGACTGAAAAACGGCAAACTTCGCAAGGCTATATTATCCGCATTTTACAATATTTTGCAACAAAACTTTGGAATATTACTAATTTTGTGATGCTCTTTCAAGCTGTGATGAAATTTTTGTCTTGATCGAAATTTTAGTTATAAGGGGAAAGGTCAATTGATAGGGGATCTGAGGTACCTACGATTTAACGTCTTTATCCGAAAAGACGCAAAAGTCTAACCATTTACTGATATCAATGTAAAGGTAGCTCTTTCTGTTCAATTATTTTACGGCCTTGAGTAGTACATGCTAAATACGTTCTACCTAGAGTAGTACATGTTAAGTACATGTTAATACTTTACTGCATGCAATGCTGCTCCTCAAAACGTGGTGTGAATGGGTTCCAAAATGCATTTAATTTCCGTCCTACAACACGTGAAATGCAGTACAGAATGTGTTTGGAAGACTTCGTAACTGGTAGGTTTAAGGCGTTGAGGTTAAGGCGTGTTTTCGCTGCCCATACCCCCATAAACCCGGCAGTTACACAGGCTACCAAACTAGTCACACAGGCTACCAAACTACAGCTACGCAGACCAAACTACAGTCACACAGGGGTTATCAAACTACAGCTACACAGACCAAACTACAGTCACACAGAGGTTATCAAACTACAGCTACACAGACTACCAAACTACAGCTACACAGACCAAACTACAGTCACACAGAGGTTATCAAACTACAGCTACACAGGCTACCAAACTAGTCACACAGGCTACCAAACTACAGCTACACAGACCAAACTACAGTCACACAGGGGTTATCAAACTACAGCTACACAGGCTACCAAGCTATAGCTACACAGACCAAACTACATCTACAGTTACATACCATTAGGATGTCAGTGATATTTCGATCACCGTCTGCATATGTGGTGTTCGTAATCACCTTTCCAATTTCTTCAGGATTCTTCAGGAAATTTGGATCTAACGCAGCCCGTAGTAATAATATTTTTTGTAATTTATTTAATCTGTCTTGATATTTTGCAGGATTCTGCTTCATCATTGTGGCATCTAGTATCTCCATGACCTAGAAAAAATCCAGTTATCAAGATAGACCAATACACCCTTCTAGAAAGGATGTCTCCTATAGGCTA